GAACACTCATGGGCAGAAGTTGGCTTGGGGATTATCACTTCTGCCCTAGAGACCTTCTCGAGAATGAAAGCTGCAAACAAAAGCTGGTTAAAAAAATGCACTATAAAAACGATCGAAGAAGCCGAAAGTAAAATGGGCCTTGACCCTTTTACTGATTTCTATTGGTCGGAGATTCGCAATAAAAACCTGGCCATACTTGACCAATTAGAAACGCAGCGTCAATCGGAATGGCTAGAATGGCTAAAACTCAAAGGACTGATTGGATATGACAGAATGACTAAGACCACATTTTACTTTCGGCAGCAAAACAAATGGCCCTAGGGAAGTGCCCAGGGTTAGATGGGTTACCAGTTGAACTCTTCCTGAGCGCTTGGGAGGCTTTCGGCCCGTTCCTTTGCCAGATCTTCAACTCTGCCTTAGTTTCTGACTCTCTCCCCAAACGCTGGCTAACAGGAGTTATCTCCCTTCTCTACAAAAAAGGAGATAAAAAGGAAGTGCGTAACTACAGACCTATCTCAGTTCTCAATGTCGCCTACAAACTCCTGGCGAAGGCGCTAGCCATCCGCCTAGCCACATTCCTCCCAAACCTAATAGGGTCCGAACAAGGGGCCTTTGTCAAAGGACAACATCCTGTCCACTATTCAGGTCCTAGAGATCATAGGCACAGAACATAAAAATGTTGCGATCCTCCTCCTAGACATGGAGAAGGCATACGACAAAGTGGGTTGGTCCTTCGTGTTCACCACCCTTACTCATATGGGTTTTGGTAAGGGATTCTGCACATGGGTAAATGCAATGTATTCAGAGGCTTCCTCAGTAGTGATGGTCAATGGGAAACTCTCTGAAGAATTTCCCCTCACGCGCTCACTAAGACAAGGATGCCCACTTGCACCACTACTTTTTGTGATTCAACTAGAGGTCCTTCAACATAACATTAGATGCAACAGCCGGATCTCGGGTCTTCACCTCCCCCCGACAATCCATTGGAAAGGGGGAGCTTTAGCAGATGATCTCACTGTGGCGTGCGCTAACGAAAAAGAATCCCTGGAGGAACTGAGAGTGGTGCTGGACACGTACTGTGACCTATCCGAAGCGTCCATTAACTGGAACAAATCTGTTTTTCTGTTACCTCCTCAGTTCACTCTCTGCGTGAACTGGGGACTGAAACACATCCCTGCAAACAGTTCTGATCGCTTCTTGGGGGTTCAGGTCTCTATAACAGACTGTTCAATGACTCAGGATGCACTACTTCAGGAAAAAGTAACTGCCAGAATACAAGGCTGGGTGCGAAATCATCAACTATCACTCTTTGGGAGGGCCCTGGTCCTCTCCGCAGCGGCATTTTCCATCCTATGGTTTCCCCTAAGTGTACACCTACAGGGGGATGAGGCCTACTCTGAAATCCGTAAGACTGCAAGCCGTGACATATGGAAACCGACGGCTTCAGACCACCAAGGTTTCATTACCAAAGTAGCGTGGGAGACAATTGCTAACAAAAGGGACCAAGGGGGTTTAGGAATTCTTGATCCGAAACACCAAAACATAGCACTCCTAGTCAAATGGCCTATAATGGCCATGTTCGGCTCACCGGACAAAATCTGGATAGACTTGGCGGAATACATCCTGATGAAAGAATGGAATCTTTCGAAAAATGAACACGTCTGGATCTGTTTCCTCATTGACTCCTACTGCAACCGCAGACCGAAATCAAGAATCTGGAAAAATATACTTTTTGCCTGGAACAAACTAAGACCACAACTATTAATGGAACCAATCTCCAAAATGGAAATCTTAAACCAAATACTCTTTGAAAATTCTCTCATCAGACAACAAGATTCCTCACTACTAATGGCGGACGGTAGCCCGGGTTCCTTTGGGAGAACATGGATAGAGAAAGGTTTAGTACAAATAAGAGATATCTGGGATGATCAAGTAGATGACTGGATCTCGTTGGAAATACTCAGACTAAAATTACCCAGGATTCATAACGTGTTGGAAAACTTTAATAAGGTAAAATCAGCAATTCCTCCTCACTGGGTACACACCCTTAAAAAGGACAGAGAATACAGCCCAGGCGCTTGGCTGCAGGACCCGGAGGAAGACAAAATGTTCTGTAAAGTGGTGGGCCCAGACCTGTACTCAGGCACAAGAGTTCAAAAGTGGTCTCAGTATGCCCCCATAAATAACCATACCTCACTACGGTTCGAGGAGGAATTGACTGTAGTGTCCACGCGGGACTGGGAAGAAGCCCGTGTTAGGGAACTGAAGACTAAGAAAGGACTCGCATGTCAGGTAATTTCTACCCATCCGGAACGAATGAAAGTCGAACCCCTCCTGTATGGTTGGAAACCTCAACTAGATTCACAGGAAAACATTCCTATTATCTGCTACAAACCCAAAGTGGGCGTCCTAATACAACGTAACGGGGTGAAGAAGCTACCAATAACAACAGCAAAGAAAAGACTTTCTAACCTCCAAGTTTCCTCAGTAACAGACAAGGGCCTGTTTAATCTATGGAAAGCCTTGAAAGGTCTGCCTTCTCAAAGCAGCCATCCAGTGGCTGCAGTCATTACAAGTTACCCCTACAGCGAATTGGCTGAACACAAAAGCAATGCAAGTCCCGCCCCGGTGTGCTAGATGCAAATGGGGATGGGAATCTGCATCCCACCTGTGGCTGGTCTGCCCACTCTCAGGTCAAATCTGGGAGTGGTGGAAAGAGAAATGGAAAGGCCCCCTTCAACAGAAAATGGAATGGACAGACGACTTTATACTCTATGGCAAACTCCCGGTCGAGAACAACTTCGAGTCTGGCCAGGCGTACAGAGCCCTCATCTGCAGAGGCCAGATCATGGAAGGGATATGGGCGTCTCGAAATGCCTGCGTTTTCAAAGGGGAAGTACATCACGCCTGCCAAATCATCAACTCATTCAAGGCTGGCCTCAGAAGGACAATATACGCAGACTGGAGGCGAAGAGGCAAAATTTGGTTGGCTCCGAATTATAATTCTCAGCTGCAGTTACTACTTTCCGGCTACAGTCTACTCTCTGTACGGGTGGAAGTTTGGAACAGTTTTGTGTTTTGACAGGATTTTCACTCCTTTGTTCTCTTTATCTTTATTAGTCCATCTGATTATTTTTGGCTTCAGAATAGTAGGTTCTGGGACGCTGGACCAGGTTTCCAGCAGGGATATAGCAAGCTGTAGTAAATCTATACCCAGCAGATAGATCTGGCTTGGCCCTCGAGCTATTGCCTCCCTGTTCAAAGCTCAGTAGGACGCTGGACCTCGTTTCCAGCAACTCTGCTCTGTTCCGGGTTGTGATGTGGAGGGATTCCCGGCCTCCTTTTGCCTTTATTAATGAAACCTACTTTTCCAAAAAAAAAAACAAAAAAAAAAAAAAAAAAAAAAAAAAAACACCTGGGTTTCGACAGCCTCTGTGGCGAGCCTCTACAAGGGAGAAAATTTCCCCCTTGAAATCCCACGTAACTTTCCCTCCATTCAATCTTGTCCCGCCGTTGTAGGTAACTACAACTAGACGATGCTAGTTGGACGTGGCCCCGGGGCCTGTGACACTTTTTGCCCGTTTGGGGGAGAAATGAGTACAAAGGTTTTATCGCGGGGAGGTCTTGTAACTTTTCCCAAAGAGAACATGCAGAGACCCAGAAGGGTAGGGTCTTCCATATCAAACAGTGAGTCTGGCTAAATCAATTCGTCATGGGACGGGGCATTTGCTTACCTCTTTTTTGTTTTTCTTTCGTTTTTTTGGGACAGTGGAAAACTCGTGAGTCCATTCATGTGCACCACTAATCAGATGACGAGGCATTTGTAGACCCTTTCATTTTCTTTCGCCCCTTGTGACAGTGGGGATCTCGTCTGCTCATTTCTGCCCGTCACTACAGTAGTCGAATGACGAGGCCCTCTCTCTCTCTCTCTCTCTCTCTCTCTCTCTCTCTCTCTCTCTCTCTCTCTCTCTCTCTCTCTCGCTCGCTCGCTCGCTCCAACCACCAAAACCTCCCTCCCGCCCGAACGAGGACACAGGAGCAAAGGAAAAAGGAAAAGAGCACACGTGGTTCCAGTTCACGCCCGGCGGACCATTGTTTCAATACTCTGACTAGAGAACGGAATGATCCAATCGACACAGTGGTATTATGCTCGATACGATTTTTGTCCTACCATAGCTTCACGGGATATGCTCGATACGATTGTCCTGTCCTAGCTTCACGCGCAAACGTGTCGCACAGAGGACGTGTACACCCCCATTTTTAAACCGAAATAATCGTCTACAGCAGTTAGGGCTCCAGACTAGAACATCCACGTCACGCCCCGGTGTTCAGGATTAACAGGCCATCGTTCCCTGTGATGCCAAAGCGTGGCTTCCCCTCTTCTTGTTTCTTCTTCTTTTATTTCGAGAAATCTCACGACTGATTTGAGCGGAGGTATTATACTCGCTATTGATTTTCGTTACCTTTCCCGCAATCAAGTGGCAACGTCTAAATTCTTCTCTCAATTTCACCTCACACTACCTACCTACCACTACTCCTAATTGTAGCCATACGGGGAACCCCGTAGCAGCCAGTTTGAAGGCGGGGAATGAAGATTGCACAACTCAACCCTTTCGAGACACGTTGCATGATTTCGAGAATCCACGCGATAACTCCGTACGGTCGAGGCAAAGGCTTGAGCTTGTAACTTACCAAAAGACATCGTCAGGCCTCCTCCGTTGCTGTGCGTATCGTATCTTTGTGCGAAAAATAGAAGACAGGTGGAGAGGAGGGTGCACGAAAGAGACGGACGCAAACCCATGCACGCACACTATTTTTTTATTTTTATTTTTCTGTGTGTGTTGTGCGTGTGTGCGTGTGTGCGTGTGCGTGTGCGTGTGTGTGTGTGTGTGTGTGTGTGTGTGTGAGAGAGAGAGAGAGAGAGAGAGAGAGAGAGAGAGAGAGAGAGATAGAGAGAGAGAGAGGCATTCTTCAATAGCTGGTTTGATCCGGAAACGTACTCGAGGCCGCTCTAAACGTGCAGTCATTTTCCCCTGAGACGTCGTGCGGCGGTTCTGCACCATCATCCACATCGTTTTCTAGGTCCCCCATCATCACTGTCAGGCCATCCCAACCCACTTCCAGGAACATATTGTGAATGCGCTGAAGAATTTCTCTCATGGCTGGTCTGGACCCATACTCCTCTTGGACGTATTCCCAAGCCAGTCCGAATGTGTTCATCACCATCTTCTTGATCGAATCTCCAGCCACCTGATCCCACAAGCACCGATCGAGTATCGGGTATGGCATCTCCATGCTCCCGCTCTGGACGACTGCCCCTCGAAGGAAAGGCTTCACCCACTCGACAAGCGTCTGCCATCCCAGCCCGGAAGGAGCCGGCGCGACCACCTTCCTGCCCGTCAACAACTCCAGAACGAGTACCCCATAAGAGTACACGTCGTTCTTTTCGGACAGCTCTCCTCTCAGCATGTACTCGGGTGACATATACCCGAAAGTGCCGCCGATGTGAGAGGTCATCACAATGTGGTCATGTCCTGTGCCTAGTACCCTCTCGCCGATGGCTGCTAATCCGAAATCCGCAACGACGACGTGAAGCTTCTCGCCAGATCCCTTGCCGAGCAATATGTTGCTGCTCTTGATGTCCCGATGGATAATCGGTGGCCTGGCAGCGTCGTGAAGGTAGCAGAGCCCCTTGGACATGACCACATTGGAGAGCCCCCTGGAAGGCTGTGCTCATGCGCTCCAGAAGCGTCAGCGGAGGGGATGGATCCTCGACAATTTGGCCTGCCTCGGGCGCTTTTGCATCCTTCCCACCGACGGCCTTGGAGAACAGCCGCCCGTGCAGGCTGCCTCCTCTGAAGAACGGGTACACCAAGATGCAGTGATCGCCCGCGAGGCAGTACCCGACTAGTTGTACGAGGTTAGCATGATTGAGCCCGCTGAGGGTGTTCACTTCGGCCACAAACTGGCTCCGTTTTATGTCCGTTAGCTCGCCCGTCATCACCTTTATCGCGACCTCCTTGCCGTCCAGCGAGCCCCTGTAAACCTTCCCAAACGCTCCTTTCTCCCCAATTCTGTGCCACGTACCCCCACCCTGATCCATAGTCGTCTGTGGAAGGGCTCACCTTTGTCTCAATCCACTCGTCTGTCCAGGGGAATGATTCTGACGGAAGAGCTAGCCAATGTTTTCTCCACCATTGCCAGATTCTGAGCGAGAAGGGGCATTGTATCCAAATGTGTTTTGCTGTTTCCCAGGCCCAGCGACATCTGGCGCAGGCCCTTTATACCACCATCTGCTTGGAGGCCAACCATTCAGCGGACGGAACTACGTCTAAGGCTTGCAGCCATAGGAAGCTAGCTATGCGTTGCTCGGGGAACTTCTTCAGTTGCTTCCATAGGAGGTTCACTTTGTCCATTGTCATTAAGCTTGGGTGTTTGTCTGCCCATCTAGCTACCGTTGTTTCCGTTGGTTTCCTTTTCGCAACGTCTCCTAAGGCAGAGGCCCCGACTTTGGGTCTGTATTGCGATAGAGGGACAAAGGCCTTATGTTTACTATGCAACTTCCAACCCTGGAGAAATGGTTCCGCTGCGTACGAGTCTGCTTTCCTTCCCAATACACAGATTTCCTTTCCTTTTGGGTCGAATCGAGACCAGACCCCAACTTCAGTGGCCCCGTCCCAGTCTGGGTCATGAACCACCCTCATTTCCTCGGCAAACTTAAGTAGGTGGCAATCTGTACCATTTCTGGGAATTTCCCATTTTTGGACCCTGTACCCCGAAGGGATGTCAGGGCCAATTACCCTCCAGATGCTGTTCCCATCGCCTTCTTTTCTGAGCCATGTGTTGTACGTCTCTATGAAGGGCTTTCCCAGGATGGTACTCCAGGCATTTGGGATTGCTGCTAGTAATGTGGCTAGATTCCTTGAGACGTTGTGCAGCCTTGGTAGGGCTCTCCGTAATTTCTCCTCCCCTGCCCAAGTGTTGTTGTGATTGTCCCATATGTCCTTTATCTGAATAATCCCCTTAATCATCCAGCTTCTGCCAAAGCTGCCAGTGGTGTCATCTGCTGGGAATGGGGACTGGTCATCTTTGAGTATCAGTGGGGTTTCGAAAAGAGGTTGAATTAGGATCTCCGCCTTTGTGTTTGGTACTTCTCTGAGTGTCGGGCGTACCTGGTTCCAAGCAGGGCAGAGTTTGTAACTGCAGTCTAGTCATCCACGTCGGAGGGGCAGGCCGTTTCCAAAAAAAAAAAGAAGAAACAAGAAGAAAAAAGAAAACATCGTGGCAGTGTATCTTTCCATGTTTCAGGGAATATTCACTCTCAGTTTCCACGAAATGTGCAAAACGAGAGTGAATCTTCTCTAGAACCTGGAAAGATACAGGGCCGTGATTTTTGTGTTTTGAGCAACGGAGATACAGGGGCCCAACGAAATACACGGGCTGACAACGAAGCAGAGGCCTTCGCGGATACACGTGCTGACAACGACCCAGTTTCTTTTCTTTTTTTTTTCCTCTTCAACGACCCAGTTTCTTTTCTTTTTTTTTTCCTCTTTTACTTTTCCTGCCCAGAGTTCCCGACCTATGCCTGTCATCCCTGGGGCCTCGTGGCGGTGCATCTTTCCATGTTCTAGCAGAAGATTCACTCTCGTTTTGAACATTTCGAGAGTAGTGGAATGTGCAAAACGAGAGTGAATCTTCCGCTAGAACATGGAAAGATACAGCGCCCTGATTTTTGGCTTTTGTGCATGTCTCCTCTTTTCTCTTTTTTGTTTTTTTCTTTTTTTTTTTGTTGTTCAATCTCAGCCCCGTTGCGCGGTCTGGGCCCTGGACCGACATGCAACGCGTAAATCGGTGTGCGGCGCCCCTTTTGCATTTTCTCGCTAAAAAAAAAAACCTGTTAAAGTTTTCTGGAAATGCGAAAAAAAACAAAAACGAGCCCCGTCCCCGCGTGACTCTGACGGCCTCATAATGACAGTGGGTTGGTGGCAGCACACTTCACGGGCATGCTGTTTCGAGGGTCCTGTGTGGTGTATGTTGTGCGGTTTATCTGAATGCGCCCGCGCTTCGGTGGCCTTCGCGTGCATGTGGGCGTAACGTGGAGGCATGTGCACCGCGTAAGCCCTTTGAACGAAAACACGAGTGGAAACAATCCAGCCGACAGGCGGACACTTGTTTCCATTTGTGGAGAGGGGAGGTCCTGCCCGCCCTCTATTCTCCCTTTCCATTTGTGGATAGGGGAGGCTTGGAAGGGGCCGTGGACGGTGGGACTCTTTCATCTCACCCGAAAGAACCATAGCACTCTTTCCCAGAAAGGCCGCAATGCCTCGGCCACATCCGAGGTTAAAAAAGGGAAAAAAAAAAAAAAAAAGAGAGAGAGCATCTCGTCGCGTGGCTGGGCCACGGCCGCGATGCC